TTATTTCAAGACACGGACACAACCACGCAGGGCATCCAATCCATGATCTGAACTCTGACTATCGTGTTTCAGCCTGCATTCATTTCTTGCTCATCTGCATAGCTGCAGGGTTAGCAGACTTCCAGTTCTCTCAGAAGGGAAGGCATGCATTTTATAAGAAGCTACCTTATGACAGATCAGATTATTGATTGATTTAGCCCAGGATCATCTGTTCTGATTGGCAGGGGCCCTTCAGCGTCTCTGGAAGAGGCCTTTCCCATTACGTTTTGTCTGATCCTTTTTTAACCAAAGGTGGCTGGGGCAGAACCTGAAACCTTTGGTCTTCAATGTTAGGATTCCTTGCTCAAATACCTGAGGGACATTTCATGAACTTCGGGTTGCCCACTATATATAAACAAACACTACCTGTTTCACTGTGTCAGTGAAATAGAATTGCACCCAAAGGCAAAATTTAACTGTCATTTTAAAATTTGGACTATGAAACTTAATTTTTTAAAAAACAAAAGTCCTGAAGCTTTTTAAGGCATTCAGATACAAGAAATGTTGGAAAGCCAATTCTTCACAGACAGAAAAATCCGAAGGCCTTCTTGGGTTTACTCACTGGTGCTGTTCAGGAGTTTGGAAAAAAAATCTTTTTTTAGGCAGGCATTTATGGCTCCAGCTCTGCCTGAATTGCTGCTGTGAATGGATTGGCCTTAATTAGTTGTTTCATGTGGCTCCAATATTCTGGCTCTATTTTGCATATTTTAACTAGTTTTGTAAACCACTGAAGAAAACAACACGCACACATAAAGAGGGAAGAATGAGGACTAAGGTGAGGTATCACATACCATGGTAGTTACTTAAATTAAAAAAGCTCCTTTATTTTCTCACTTGGCAGTTGTTTTGCTCCACACATCTGGAGCTGCCACTGATGACATGATAATCTGGGATGTGCTCTCTGACAGAACTTTAGGATTGGAAGAGACTTTAGAGCGCATCTTGACCAGCTTTTCCCAATCTAGGTGACTTTCCAATGTACAAACTTCAACTCTGAGAATTCTTGGCAGTGGCCATGAGAGCCAGGGAATTCTGGGAGTTGAAATCCACTCACTTGGAAGGGGCAAGGTTGGAGAAACCTGATTTAGTCCAACTCAGCTCCAGGCAGGATCCACAATTGTAGCATTCCCCATAGCTGGCTAGCTCCACCTATGTACTTTCAGCAATGGACAGTCTGTTTAACTGTCAGAAAGCTCTCTCCAGTAGGATCTTTCTCCTGATATCTTTTGTTTTCTATGCCTTTTCAAAGGCATGGTGGTCATAATTTGCAGGTCACTTATTCTAAGTCTACCTTTTACCATTCAGAATTGTTTTGAGACTAATCCCCTAATCTTTGGCCTGTTTCTCGGCTAAAGGGCACAATCATTTTGAAATACATTTTAAAGGCGCTCCCCCAGCAAAGGAAGGACGGGCAAATTTACCCAACCATAATTTCCTCACCAAGTTATGAGTTCAACCCTTAAAACCAGGCCAAAGTTGCCAGATCTTATAGGATTTTTGAAATAATTAATGTAAATTAGCATTATTTAGCACTAAAATAAAGTGATCTGAGAATCCATCATCTTATTCTCCAACTGGAAACTTGAATATGAGCTCCCGCCATACATTCCAGTATCATTTCTGGAAACAGCGCTGCGTAGAAAGAAGAAAAAAGACTTCCTTTCTTTGTGACCCATTAGGGTAGCCATATACAGTGGGGCAAAAAAGTATTTAGTCAGCCACCAATTGTGCAAGTTCTCCCACTTAAAAAGATGTGACCAAATACTTATTTTCCACCATGATTTGCAAATAAATTCTTTAAAAATCAGACGTGACCAAATACTTATTTTCCACCATGATTTGCAAATAAATTCTTTAAAAATCAGACGTGACCAAATACTTATTTTCCACCATGATTTGCAAATAAATTCTTTAAAAATCAGACGTGACCAAATACTTATTTTCCACCATGATTTGCAAATAAATTCTTTAAAAATCAGACGTGACCAAATACTTATTTTCCACCATGATTTGCAAATAAATTCTTTAAAAATCAGACGTGACCAAATACTTATTTTCCACCATGATTTGCAAATAAATTCTTTAAAAATCAGACGTGACCAAATACTTATTTTCCACCATGATTTGCAAATAAATTCTTTAAAAATCAGACGTGACCAAATACTTATTTTCCACCATGATTTGCAAATAAATTCTTTAAAAATCAGACGTGACCAAATACTTATTTTCCACCATGATTTGCAAATAAATTCTTTAAAAATCAGACGTGACCAAATACTTATTTTCCACCATGATTTGCAAATAAATTCTTTAAAAATCAGACGTGACCAAATACTTATTTTCCACCATGATTTGCAAATAAATTCTTTAAAAATCAGACTGAGGTATACCTATGATGAAAATTACAGGCCTCTCTCATCTTTTTAAGTGGGAGAACTTGCACAATTGGTGGCTGACTAAATACTTTTTTGCCCCACTGTATATTTTCCCTACATGGTCCCTGGACACAACGTTACATGATCACACAGCACCATTTTCAAGAACGTACTGTATTTCTAGCTTTCCCTGAGGTATTCTTACTTTTGCTTTGAAAAAAAATTAAAAAGGATACAATCAACTCCATTTTCATACCTTTCCTACAAAGTGCTTCTTTGCAGACTGTAGAAAGCAACAATAAACAATCAAAATTCAGTTAACATGTTCTGGATAACTAAGCTTGAATTCAGTCTAAATCAGAGGCTGTTTTATTACTTATATTGTCATGATTAATAAAATCATCTAGTTTCATGTTTTTAGCAGTATCACTACTTAAAAGTAACCACGTTTACTAGACTGTGAATTTAAAGGACCAGGACATGATTTCATTTCTTCTAGCCTGAAGAATAAATGGCCTGGTTAAGTCACTCCAAGCAGTAATGATCACTCATGCAGTGATGGGAGGCAGATTAAACTTCCATTTAAAATAATTCTACATTTACAGGGCCATTGACTTCTGGATATACTTAATTTCAGCTCCTGCATTGTTACTCTTTTCAAAATGGTTTTTTTTTTTTTTTTAACTTTTAAGCTTGTCTCCTAAAGTAGGAGCATGTAGGCAAGTATATATTTTATTTACATAAGGCTGGGCCAGATAGATCCCTGAGAAATACTTCAAAAGCCCATCTCCCTTTTTAAAGCCACTTCTCCTGAATCTCCCTCTGGGCAGTGTCACTGGATGATCTCAGGTCCTAACATGATGAGAGAAAAAATGTCCTTTACCCACGGTATTCACAGCACACGTAATTTTACAATACTCCCTCAAAGCTTCTCTTAAATTGCATTTCCTTGAATGAAAAAGCTCCAAATTTAGAACTTCCCTTGCAGATAAGCTCTAGTGGCTTGATTATTTTGGTTCCACTTTTCTTCACCTTGATTGATTATGTGCCATCAAGTTTGCATCGACTCTTAGCAATCACATTTCTTGCCTCAACACAAAAAACCCTTTTTGTGATGACGGAAAATTGTGTCAGGTGCTGTTACACAGACAGTTCAATTTTCTAATCTTTCTCTAATAGTTCCCAATATAGAACATGCCTCTTTTGCAGTTGTTATTCTCAGAATACTTCATCAAGTGATGCCTCAGATTTTGCCTATTGATTCACTGCAATCATTTATAGCTTTAAAGCTGTATATAGCTTATATACAGGATAATACAGGTAGTCCTCATTTAGTGATTGCCTCATTTAGCAACCGTTCAGTTATGACAGTGATGAAAAAGTAACGTTATGACCAATCCTCCCATTTATGACCTTCATAGGTTAGTAAAAGATCATAAAATTGTGATGTTTCACTCAGCAACTGCTTCACTTAGTGTCTGAGTTGCCAGTCCCAATTTGATTGCTAAATGAGGACTACCTGTATACAACAGAGAAAAGGCACAAGATCTCACTCCATTCTTGGAAAAGGCTCTGATTTTAAAAAGCCTTACATGGAATGACACACTTCCTCTAATCCTTGGCTGTCCACAAAAAAGCTTGCCTCACATTTATAAAGGCAGCTGTTAGTCCTAATGAGTGGGTTTATTTCCCCCTCCCTCATCTCCCCTTCTCCTTCATCCCCCTGCCCCCAAAGGTACCAGATTGGATATGCAGCTTAGCTGCAGTCCTGTGGAGGCTACAGCATCAGAAATGTACAGAGGCCGGATGAGGCTAGTCACTTCCTTGCAAGTCACCAAAATCCCTCTTCTGCAGCTGGGAGGCAGAGTTCTCCGGGCAAGCATGCTGGCTGCAGCCCCAGCTCCATTTCCATCAGCCATTGGAGCCGTAATCAATGTTTAATTAGATGCGATTTAATTACCCGCTTGCTCAGCGGTCACTCGCACCGAGAAGACAGCTCAAGTTCCCAGCATCAGGAGGATAGGCACAACGTCAAAGACAGGATGTAAGATCTAACCTTCCCCCCCCGCCCCCGCCCACTCCTTTAGCACAAAGGTTTCACCCTCAACCCTGTAATTGCTGCAAAATACAGCTAAGGTCTTATTGAACTCTGTAATTGAAGCAGAATGCAGGTAGTGCCCAGAGCCCTGTATTTCTTTCCTAGCCAGCATTATCAATGTTTGTTTAGCTTCCCCAGAACTGGCTCCACTGCAGAAGGGGAAAAGGCTCATCATCTCTCCTGCCAAGCGAAGAAACAGGCACATAGGGCTGGACTGAGAAATGCCCTCTTCTTATGCTCTGGCCTGGGAATACCTCTTCATTTTCCTAAAACCCAAAAGAACCCAGTTCTAGAACTTCGAAGCATAACTTCTGGAGTACATCCTGGGGCAACAGATTCACAGAGAAGTCATGAAAGTTGGTTCAACATTTTTGGAGAATAGAGAATCTCTCTCAGACACACACACACACACACACACACACTGTGTTCCTCAGGAAGCCCTAGGATTCTAGGGAGAACTTGAAACGAAAAAGGAAGAAGTTTAGTACCTGTGCGGTCAGAATCACTCTCCCCAGTGCTGGAGGATGGACTGCCTGCAGATCCTGGCTTGTCTCCCTCACGGGGCCCCGATTCCTTCTGCCGCGTTCTGGCTGCCTCGATTCCCTTTACTCGCCGGGCGTGGCGGTTCCCCTTGTAGTGTGCTTCAGCCTGGCTCTGTGCAGAGAAGAAAGAACTTCATGAACAAAGCAATCTGAGATCCCAAGCCCATAACATTATGAGCACTGGTTGATGGGAATTGCACACATTTATAACCTTTCTGGAGCATGTTACAAGCACATACCAGGCTAGGCCAGCATATCTAAGAAGTACACCCAAATAAATTTCCAGGAATGCCTTCAAACTAGCTTGGTTTATCCCCCTTGAAACTGGCATCCTTTGTCCCCTTTCCTTTTAAGGAACACTGCGACAATGAAGAATAAATTAATTCACATCTGATCCCATGTATTATCTATATTAATAATGTTCTCCGAATAGATTACTTTCATCTATAAAAATGTCATCTTTGATAGAAATTTTAAATATAGATGCTTACAATATTTATATTTCTCCTTAAGTTCATGTATACAACAGAAGATGGTAGCATCTAGCCATCCTTGGCTGATCACCAAAAAGCTAAGCAGGATTAGCCCTGGTTAGTGCTTTGATGGAAAATCACCAGGAAATTCCGAAAGAGGTAAATTTGACTAAGGAGTAAACAAGCAAACAGACAAACCCAACTTTCAGAGAAGGAGATCGCAAACCACATTGTTGTGATTGATGCCAAGAAAACAATACAGACCTATCCCTGTAGTCATCATGTAATTTACCTTTTTATATATGTAAGTTCATATATTGTTATTCTTTTTCCTATTTTAATACACTTTTGTACTTGATCTTTCTTAGGTTGTATTTTGGTGCTTTCTTTAATAAAGATGCAAAATCCCCACCCCAATATGTTGTTAATTTCCCTTGTTTTTTCCAGACCTGTTTTGTGGCTATTTTGGGAAAGTAGGGGTGGATGTGAAACAACATGATTATAGCACCAGCTTGTCTAATATGGATAAGCAAAAAACTAACCTTTCCAGATTCAACTTGAATGAAAATACTCCCATTTACAATCTTGGAACCAAGAAATAAACACCTCTTAATTGCCCTTTGTCTCTGGGAGAAGAAAGGTTTTAATTACAATTTCCTCTTTTTTTTTTTTTTTGCATATTTTAATAATATTTAGCAGTTCTCTTTTCTTAGACCTCGGTTTCTAGACAGAAACATTTTTAATAGTGCAAAACATCAGAACAACATGTCACATGATTTCACTAGGTGCCCTCGAAGGTCAATTCCAACTCTCTGATTCAGTAATCATGTTAAAGGGCATCTAGTCCAACCACTTGGTCAATGCAAGAGCCACTTGAGTATGTCTGACAGATAACTAACAGTCTTGTTGAAGACCGCTGGCATGTCATGTGGCAGCCTGGCTTCCGCTGTCTGACAATTCTTACGTCAGAAACTTCATCCTGATATGTAGCCTGTACCTGCTTCCTAGTAATTTTAATCTGTTAGTACTGGTCTACCTTTTGGACAATAAAGAATACATCTACTCCCTCTTCTGTGCAAAAAACCTTCAGATATTTGAAGACTGCAATCATATCTCCCCATATTCATCTTTTCTGTAAGAAAAGTACCCAGATCCTTTAACTGTTCCTCAGAAGTCTTGGTTTCCAGACCCCTCCCCATCTCAGTAGTCCTCTTCTGAAGTTGCTCCAATTTGTTACCATCCTCTTTGAACTATAATACTTTGAACATAATACTCCACATGGGTTCTGACCAGAGCAGAGTGGGACAATTATGTCTGTGATCTGGATGCTCTACTTCTATTAAAGCACCCCAAGACGGAATTTGCCAATTTAGCAATGGCTTCATTAAATTCAGTTCTTGATAGAAGCAAGAGAATATCAGGAGTCAAAACCACCTCCTACCCTGGAATAGAAGAACTTGTCAACTCAGAAGCTACTCACCTTCCCTTGTCTCCTAATCTTAACAGTGCCTAAGGATTTTAACTTTAACAACCTTATCATGATACAGATAGGGTGGAACTAAGCATTACCAAAAAATACAGAGCTGAACCATTCAATGTTTTTTTCCTTCCTTTCTTTCCAATAACATACAACATTAAAAATAAAAATAAAATTATAACGACAATGTCATCATCTTGTGCATTTCTCCATACCGACATCACATCATGACCTGAAAAACCAGGCTAGGGACAAATCATCATAGAGAAAATCTATCTATGAGGTCACTAAGAGTCGACAACAACTTGATGGCACATAATCAATCCATCAATCAATATGACATCATAGGCTATTGGAAGAAGAGAAGTGCACAGTGTGATAAGCACATTGCATTTGTGTTGTACCACATCAGAGAAAGGGAACTGGTCTCCCTTCAGATGGTGCTTGACTCCAATCCCATCAGTCCACTAACATTTGGAGGGCTACTCAGACCCAAGTCCTGATCTAAACTTTACTGGATTAAGATAAAAAAAAAAAATACAAAGCATAAGAAGATCCTTGTTTTGAGTTCCATCTTTGAGGAATTTAAAATATATCTTCAGAAGCGCCGCCATAGCCTTATCTGGATCTTGAAAGAACACAACCTGCCCTGATTCTGAAATTATATTTGAAGTCAAGATTAAATGATTTGTTTGCTTTGCTTTTTCACTCAGCATCTTCACTGACTCTCTCACATCAAGTATGATAGTTAACATGAGGAACAACTAAGGCTTAACACAACTCTCCCTGATGGAGAAGGAAGACAGAACAGGCAAGTTGCTCATAACATGTCTCTGGGATATCTAGGCATCTCCACCAAGACCCCAATTCGGTCTTGGACCACGGAGTTCCCCATCATTCAAAGAATAGATAGATCTATAATCTGATTCAGCACTCTACTGGATCGTGCTAATCTGCAGATTTGCTATATGGTGCATTTTTGTTGTTTTCTTTATACTTTTGTTATATTACAGTCAGGACTATGTAGTTTATTCAAATGTAAACAAAAATTTTGAGACCCATTGGACAATGATCAATCCCTCTTTACAACCTATAATATAATAATCACTTAATCCAATATGAGAAACTTCACCCATTCTCCATATTGTTATATACATTTAATTTCCTTAAGGAACTGAACCTGGACAAGTAAAAGGCATGTGATCTCAGAAATGTCTTTATATATCTTTTGTCCTCTGTATTCCCATTACTATCAACTGAAAGGCACAGCAGAGTGTCAGGACTTTCTAAAGACTTACCTCAGAATTGAAACGGATCTGACAGACGTTGCAAGAGATGATGGGGCGTTTGGCCTTGGTTACAGGGACCCCAAATGTATGGTTGATCACTGCTTTCTGCACTGGGTCCATCTGCCAGGGGAAAATAAGTAAGAATTGTGGTCAGTGATTACATAGTACCTGGTACTTATAAGGCCTACTTCTCATATAATGCTGAACTGGAAGGCTAACCACATAATCCTGTCAACCCATGGCACAGCAAGTATTTCCATGCCTGAAACACCAAAAGTGCCCCAATCCTGTTCTTATCTCATCTTTTAGTGCTATAGTAAGTGTTTTCAAGCTTATCCTGTAAGACCAATTGGGCTGAGTTCACTCTCTGGTGGCTCTGATGGAACCTGCTTAATGTATTGCAGGCTGATGGGGCTACAGCTAGATTCAAAGGAGAGAGGCTCTGCCTATATTAGGCTGAGTGAGATGGCTTTCTCAGGTGTTAGATTTCAAAATACCCCTGAAAGATACCTATTTTACAAATTAATACTACAGGTAATCCTCGACTTACGACCATTTGTTCAACAACTATTTGAAGTTACAATGGTGCTTTAAAAAGTGACTTATGACTGGTCCTCGCACTTACAACTGTTGCAGTGTCCCTGCGGTCATGTGATCAAAATTCAGGCACTTGGCAACCAGAATGTATTTATGATTGTTGCAGCGTCCTGGGTCACATGATCGCCATTTGCGGTCTTCCGAAAAGCAAAATGAATGGGGGAAGCCAGGTTCGTTTAATGACGTGATTCGCTTAACAACTATGGCAAAAAAAAGGTCATAAAATCAGGCACACTCACTTAAGGGCCACATCGCTTAGCAACGGAAGTTCTGGTCCCAATTGTGGTCTTAAGTCAAGGACTACCTGTATCTATTTGTTGTCATCCCCAGTGATGGGGAATATCTGAGACGCTAAAAGGTCTCAGGCTAGCTTTAGTTGTTGAGGAGGTGATTGTGCAAATTATGTAAATTGTTTCCTACGTGCCTTTTATACAGCTATACAGCTAGGTCCTATATACATGCTAATCTTCCCAAAATGGCCACCTGCAGAGGTGCTGGAAATTATAGGGTTTACCAAATAGGAATGGCATAATTCATAAGCCTGGGCACTCCTGCAGGCAAGAGAACAAAACACTATGAACAGGACAATTGGAGGACAAAGGGATCCATGGAAGAATAATCTTCAGATGCCTTGGCATAATGGTGAAAGAGAGGAATGAGGCACATTTTGCAAGGCAGTACTGTAGCTACAAGCATGAAATGGGAAGTTCCTATTTTAGCTCTCACCTCAGCCATAAACTCACTAGGTGGCCTTAGGCAAAGCACTTTCTCTCAGCCTTGGCTCTCCTTTCTATCATGGGAACAGGAGGAAGGACAAACAAAGCTAGATAAACACTCTACATTCATACTGTTTTAGCTGCAAGATGCTTTGAGCAACACTGATGGAACGATCTTCTTACACAAGCCTGCAGAACAGATTAGGTCAAGAGTCAGAGGGTCTCCCCACTCTCTAAGACCCCACACCGTTTCTACATCCCATTGACTTCCATCAACAGTCAGCTCGCTTCTTGTATAGCTCACTGAGCTAATGCGTATGGTGAGTTCTGAACTTCGTGACACACTTTACCGATGCAAAGTATGGTACCGCTATTTAAGCCTGCCACCGTGCTGTATACGAGGGGGTTGCGAGATGTACATACTTTTGTTCTTTCAATATGAAACGCTCAGGTGGGCTGATGATGTGGGTCAGAAGAGACAAAGGAGGAGGTATGGCAAAGAGTTTAGTTTGGCATCCCCCTTGTCTTCTTATCCTAGGGGGACCTATATTTGTCCGTATTCTGAAACCGAGGGCAGCAGCAAGGAACTGAGTTATGCTCACATATCTCTCTGTTGTCTCTGGCAGTAGCATAACTAAACTGGAGGTCAGACTGAATAATTAGCCAGTCAGGCAGCCAAAGATACTGGGCGTTTCCTGGGCTACTGCTCTGGCCACTCTATTTAACATGCTCATTCCTTGGGAAAACCAACAGTCTGGTCTCCCTGTTATTCCCACATGTCTCTCCTTGGACTCTTTCTATCTCAGCGATTATACATTTGGGTTGGATGTCTCCATATTGAGACAAGGTCTTCCATGTGGAATGCACAACGCTGTCAGGAACTTGGAGAGCCATGAGTCTTGCTTACTCTCCACTAGAATGGGGACTTTGGCCCTCAAATGCGACTGAATTACAACTCCCACTAGTCCCACTGAAATTGGCCAACAATGAAAGATGCTGGAAGACAGATATCTGTAAGGCCGTAGATCCCCACTCCAACTTTATGACACTCCCAACTATTACAGCACACAATGTTTTCATTGGCTTGTTACAACCCAGTGCAAAAATGCAACTGGAGGGGAAGAAGTGACTTCATGGCTAGAAGTGTCCCCTTGAAAATTCTGGCAGCCCAGAATATAGTTAATAAATAAATTCTTGGCACAAACCTGGAACATGGCCCAGGCTGGGTTAGCTCTCTGACCCTTACTTCTGTGATTGCAATATAAATTGACAACAGGCAGCTGCCGAGAGGCAGAAGCCAAGTCTGCCACCAATTGCCTGATGACAGAGACATTTAATATACGAAGAAAGACAAAAATTGAGGACAGAGCACCATACAGAGACCCTCGGAGTATCTAAGTAGAGTCCCCAGTATCCTATTAAGGGAACGGTGTCCTCTCTCCTCTGAGTGATCTTAAATCATCTCTGCTCCAGTTGGATTTGTAGTACAAATAGAAAACTTTAAATTAGCCAAAATGCTCCTCTGCACTTCAAATGCTTCTTTTGCACATATTTTTCCACTTGAACAATCACCATGGGGTTAGCATCAAAAGCCTGAGCGAGGCTCAAAGGCAGTTGATGAAAATGGCTACTGATTCACCCAAGCAGGGTGTGCTGTCTGTACCTCATTTTGCGTCTGTTACAGCAGACAGTGTTTCGTATGCAAAAGCTTTTCTGTTATTAAAAAGGTGCACAAGCTTTCAGATGATTAAGTCCCAACAAATATCTTGTGCTGTCCCTATTTAATCATGCGTCTTGTCTTGTCTCCCGAGGGTTTTTGTTTCTCACTGAAAAAAATCTTAATTTTACCTGCACATGTTTTCCCGGGGAAACTAAAACTGGTTATCTGTAAACCCAGAGTCCAGTGACTTCACAGTGCCATTTCAAGCCCCACCCACTCTTTTCTGACAAACTGGGTCAAATTTATGGAATACTGTAGGTGTTATGTGGGAAATCATCACATCAATTCATTTTTACAACAGTTAGGAAAGTAAAAAGAGAAGCAGCACAATAACCCAAAGTGCATTAGCCCAGAAAAAGGAAAAATATAAATCTACTGAAAGCAGAGAAAGATTTGATCTGAGATAGAGGGACTGAATTAAAATTAAACAAGTATGTAGTAGGAAAGATTCTTAGAGAAGTCTTCCCTTCCGCACAGTTTCTAAGAGTCACTTGTACAGTGAGATGGGCGGCATATATAAATTTGAAAAATGAAGGAATGGATGTTTGGATGTGTTATGATAACCAGCACTAGAGATCTGAAACATCAAAGCTGTTCAGACATTACTTGATTCCTGAGATGCAATATAAGACAACCCTCCTCCAGAAGATCTGCACACTCATCTAATCATGGTAAAAGGTTAACTAATGAATACTGTAAGGAAACCTTATGATTATTTGAAGATTATTTGAAGATTCCCCAATCCCTGTGAGAAAACGTTCTTGTTTTTCTAAGAGATTTCTCAGTTCACCTTTCTACTCAAGGTGTGGGGAAAGAAGGGAGAAATAATGTGAATCTCTCAGCACCAAGTAACTTACGAACAGCCACGAAGAGCTAACTTTCATTTACTTTTTAGTTGTCAGGACCTCAAACGTTAATCTACCAAGAAAGATACACCCTTCTTCTGATTGAGGGGAACAAAAGTTACTGGGTAAACTCTAAGAAGTTCAAATGCACCAAGCTGAGAAAATTATTTTACGCAGAAGAAATTCACTGCATGTAATCAGGACTTTAACAGCTTTGTTTGGCATTTTAAATATATGACACATTTTTACATATGGATCTTCATATATTTGTGTAGGGTAGTATAATGTGCTAATTATTGCTACGCAGTAGTCTTAGTTTATAACCCAGCCAACAAACCTTTATTACTGAACAGATTAAGAATATAACAAATAAATCCTCCACTGCAGTGGAATGCTCCATCAGGGTGGCTTTGCAAGCAGCTCCCTTTGATTTCAGCTCGTCCATATATTAAAAGCAACTGAGAATAAATCTCCACGATGAATGGAGGAATGCTCAAGGTGACTGGCGTGGGCCCCAGCTTCAATCAACCACCAATTAACAGACAGGCTATGCTTCTACTCTTTCTTCACTCGACTGCTTTTAACAGAATGAAAGCAAGTTCACTCTTGGTTAAATACAAATCATCTGTCATTTTAAGACATACGTTGCACACCTGGGGTATTTCTGTGACTTTGCTGAACCACAATGAATTTGCCTAGCGTAGACAAGGAAGAGAAGTCCAGGTTTGGCAGAGAGTAACTGTGCCCCAGTTTGCAGCGCTGAGCTCCTGTAAATCCCGTCTCTTCTGCACACTCTGTGGTTGACCAGGATGGGCCACCACCTAGTTCTGCGGGCCTCTCCAGACGTTTGCTGCTACAAGGAAGAAATTTCACTCCTCTAGGAGCTGCCCTGCTCTAAGGACGTGCATTAGAAGTGAACCCAAAGGGAGGGGGCTCTCTCCCCACTCCCCTGCCAGTAACGGAGACCCTGTCAAAACAGCAGGCCATAAACTGGAACCGCTTCACATGCCTCCACAGGGAAGGGGAGGAGAGCAAGAGCACGCAACAGCTGTTTAAATAGCTCCCCCTTCATCCCACGCTTGGCCAGCACATTCAAGTTCATGTCTTGCACCAAGATAGTGTCTTCCAGATACTGAGATCTGAGACATACCACAGTAAAATACTGTGCTGCAGCTCTTGCTGGACAGAATAATTTTAGGCTGCAAATGAACCCTTGATACCCTCTGCAATCCTGAAAACTGG